TTATGATTATACAAAAAAGGGAGGTCATAACATAAGTTAGCAGTGGAAAGTCTGATTTTTCAGAGCTTTTCCCCATCTACCTGGAATCTGTCAGAGGATAGATGTTGCATAGCTTGTGTCACTGATTCTTAATTGGGCAGAGTTAGCCTAGGAAGTGTAAATCTTTCTATGTCCCCTCGATCATTTTAGCCCAATTGTCAAATAGGGAAACTTGATTTAAATGCCTTTCTGTTTCCCTAAGTAAACACCTCTCCCATCTTCAGCCTTCTCTTGTCCCCTGTCTACCACTACCTTCTAATTCCTTCCAAGTCTGGTTTTTTCCCCATTTCCTAAATCAAGCCTCCAGCCTGGACTGTTCAGTATGATAGTCACTATTTTGCTTTGACAACACCACACTGACAAGATAGAGTCAAGAAGCAAGCTGTACAATGCAAGATTCTGCTGAAAGAGAAAGACTCTGACTTTTTAATGATAGGCTAGTCATAAACCATCAGTTGGCTGGGTAGGAGAACAAAAAGAATGGGTGGGTGAAAATTAAAAAGGTGCTTATCTCATCTAGGGCTTCAAGGACATTGAGTCTGCTGACCATGTATTGATAATCCAGTATTGTATTGCAAATCATACCCCAGGCACCACCCATATTTCATTTAGAAAAATGGGCCTTTTAGCATGGAGTAAAAAAGGAAAGTATCATGAGCACCTTCTTCAGGCCACTATTCCCCCAATATACACACATTCTATGCCATACAAATCGGGTTCCCCACTCTGTGATCTATTTCTAAAAGTTTTCCTGTGTAAGATAAACATGTTATCTCTTACAAAGTTCCCTTCAGTGCTTTACTCTAAAACTATCAAGTACCATTTTCTTCTATCTCTAGTCTACTGAGATCTCTCTTTTCCTGTAATCTGCAACCTGATTCTCTTATCAAAGCTAAAGGAAGGTTAGAGGTACAGCACTAAAATCCCAACAGAGATCTCAAGACTTTACTTAGTTGTCTTGTAAAGTTCTCTTAACATTTATTTTTCAGTGAACCCAGTTTAGCTTATAAAAATAGGTAGGTGGGGCCCTCCCTAGTGGCACAGCAGGTTAAAGCACAGCACTAAGAAGCTAAAGCCACTTCAGCATGAGTTCGATCCCCCCATGTCTCAGAGGCCCACATGGCACGGCAGACCTCTCCTGACCCACACGCTGCTCCCCTCAGCACTGTACTTCATCGATCTGCCTGTTCTGCTCCCCACTCTATCTCTGGTGAATCCTTTCATGTTCACCGTCCCTGCACCTCTGTCCTGTACCCCAGTTTTGTATGTCTAAATAAATAAATAAATCTTTAAAAAAAAATAGGTGATGATGACAACAACTATGATGGCAGTGAAAATTTATAAACATCTTACTTTTTATTTTCTAACATATTTTGTAGCTGGTATATTTACGTATGGGACAATGAAGATCAATATATAACATGTTCAGCTCCTGACTGAAAGAGTAAATGCCATTAATAGTGTTGTGATTATTTTCAGGAAGACATCCACAGTCATTCTTGGGGCCCACTCAAAAACCAATAAAAAAGGGGATGAAAATCAACAGAAAATAAAAGTTAAAGACACATTTTGCTATCCATGTTATGATCAACACACATATGAGAATGATCTTCAACTTGTACAAGTATGTACCTTTACTGTCTT